GAGGATTTTACCCAAGCAAAACTCTTGTTCTGCTTGGATAAAAATTCAAAGACGGGGAAGCTAACGTACCCTCGTCCGCCGATTTAATTGAATGAACGAACCGCAGCCGGTTCGTCGCGTTTACTTCGGGAGTGCCGTTCAAGTAATCGGACTAAAGAACTTTTCTAAACGGGAGTGCCGTACAGTATCGCGCGAGAAAGACTTTTAATGAAATTAGTCCGCGCGCGATTGTAGTTTATTATCCGCGAGTGTTTCTCGCGAGTGTCCTGTGCGGTGAGAGGAGGAAGCCTGACGTCCTGAGAGGAGGAGGAGGTCTGAGAGAGACATCGAACCCCGGCGGAGCAACCTTGGGGTATCACCTTTTATCTGCATAAAATTAATAGTTTTTTCTCATTTATTCGGAGTTTTATTTCGATAAGCTAAAACTAATTAGAAAAAAAGAAATTATTTAAAATTTTATAAAAATTTATTTTTGTAAATGTTTTTTTTTTCGAAAAATAGATAATTATATCAGTGAATCTAATTGAAAGACGAATTTAGATGCGCGTAAAATTATATGTATCTTTTGAAACATTTATCATTTTCAGCGCCTCTTTAATTTATATCTTTCGTTTTTGTTACAGTATCATCGTAGCTACGTGGCCGACGTACTCCGCCCGTTGCGCATCGGATCGGTGAGTGACGAATTTTTTTACAATAGGATGGGGTAACGAATTTGTGAGCCTATATTATATATATTTATGTATTGTATCCATATAATAGTACTATAGATAAATGCGACTTCTTACAAATTCGTTGCTCTAAAATGGATAGACTAGATCAGACTAGGCTAAATAATTAATCCTGGAGCATCATCATTATTTATCGATTTATTGTGCTTACGGGAGAATGCATCCATAAGCACATACGTTATGTCGATGCATTATTTATTAATGCATCTAATGTTATTTGTATCGCAGAACATGCCAAATATACCAGTCGCCTGAAATTTATAGGCACGTATTTACATTTGGCAAATATAGGAGAAAAAAATAATGTTGTATTAACAACCTGAGTCTAATTGGAAATAATCTTGTTAATTCAATACATTAGGCTTTTGTTTTAATAAAATAAAACAAGATTATTTCCAATTAGACTAATGCTGTTGATACAACATTATTTTTTCTCTGTGTATATTTTATTGAGGACGAGCATGGCCTAGTAGACAGCGCACTGGTCTATATTGAGCCAAAGGTCCCGGGTTCGATTCCCGGTAGAGCTAGAAAAATTATATTCGCTCGTTCTCCTCTCGGAAGGCAATGGCAAATCACCGAAGAGTATTCTTGCCACGAACACTTCTCTGAAAAAACATAGCCGTTCGGAATCGGCGTTAAACTGTGGTCCTATATACAATGTGTATAATCCACGTGCGCAACACGTGTATATAAAGAGAAGTCACCACGCTCGGACACGAGTAATAGGTAACGATGATGATGATGTATATTTTATTATATATAAAGATTAGTTTCTTGTGCAATATTAAAATCAATTATTTATATTTATTACATTATTTACATTTTTTAAATTTATTTTTAAAATTATTAAGAAATACAGAAAAAGACAAACAACTAAAATAAAGTTTTATAAAATTTTTCGAATATAAGATTTTACTTAAGTTTTTGGTGACTTATTTTTCGTGTAAAATAAAAATTTTAAAAATATTTATATTTCGTATATACAATTGAAATAAATAGAAAATAATTTTTTATAGATAGATACTAGATAGTTTAATTACAATTATGGAATTAAGAAATAATAAAAGCTATAAGTATCTGTAGACGGAGTACAGATAGGTTTAATAAAATAAAATAAATTAATTGATTATATATTGTAGATAAGAAAATTTAAATGACTGTGTTTCTTCATTTTCTTTTTTCTCTCTCTTTCTTTCTCCCTATTCTAAATATTCCTCCAGGATTAAATATTACATAAATTGGTGCAAAGAAGCAAAATGTATTAATAAATTCAATGTGCATGCATTACAAATGAAAAAAACCAAAAGATATTTTGATTCACGTTGCATATATTCCACTTGAATCTTATTGTACATACATATATAGATCACACTAAAAAGTGTTAATCGTATTTATTTTTGTTGTATACATATGTATAATGCACCGATTTTATCCTAATTTTTTATAGTCTATCCATATGTAGCTTGGCTTCGTATAAACAAAGCAAAATAAAATAACGTGAGATCCAGTGAATATTTTATTGCGGGACAGAATCATTTTTTATGTAGAATTATCTCAAAATTGATAGTTTTCATATCAATTATATTATATTAAAATATATAATATAATCGTAGATATATGTATTTTTGATATGTCATATTATAAATATAAATTTGATAACAATTTACGTTATAATAACGAAATATTTATAAAAATATGTGTATAAGAATTTGTAAAGGCAAATGTTACAGCGTAAGAACTTGATGAATTCATTATATTGATTGCGACATTAATTATATGGAGAAATTATTAATCTCTTTGGATCTCACGTCATTTAGTCTGAATATCTCACTTGATATCTAAAGTGAGATTAAGTAACGATTCGTGATTCGGTTCGCAGTTTGGTTCGCGATTCGGTTTATACTTTCATACCAAACATTGTTTGTCCATTCATTAATAAATAATTGATTGATCGAATCATCGATTAATTTTTAAATTTCTGTTGTATCGTGTTTCTATATTGTACTATTGAAATCCAGATATTTGTGACTAATTGTGAGATATAATCACGACGATTTTTATTAAAACGCGATTAATATAAAATTCTTGCATTTCTTGATAATATAATTCTGTTTTGCTTTCCATTGCCGCTATGTATTAATTCTTGGACGAATACATTAATTACGCGTATCATTGTAAAATTAAAAGCAAAATTAAGTCATTTAATTAAGATTTTATTAACGATCTAACGTGGTTGTTTATTCTTTTCCGATATGATTAATGCGCGCTTATTAACGATCGCAACGATTTAACGACCGCAACATTATAATTGTCTACCGGCGCTGTTAATCAGCCGGCATTGAAGGAATTTATCTCCTTCTCATTTTCTGGCTGACATACAACCAAAACCCATACAACCACCCCGCTTAGAAAGTCGGACGCGTGTAGGGAAGTCGCGTCGCTCGTCGCGCTGGTGGCCGGCGGAA